CCTTAGCATTTGAATACTACGGCTTTCATTTGCAAGGATAAGATTAAATACCTGTGACGTTACCTTGCTAATTCTATACGCAACTAACGATCACTGTTTCTTATCGATACGTCGATAATATTATCATAGTCGCGTAGTCTGTCGCGTGACACCTTCTTAGTTCCAAAAGACCATTGTCACAATCATCAGCTGACGACAAATCGGACTATGTTAAGTTAAACGACATAGTCTCCATGCCTCCATCAATCAATTCACATAAAAAAAAAATCACAATAACCAAACCAAAACCACTTCCTCCCCAATCTCCAGTTTTCGATCCCGCCAAACTAGAGGAAATGTTAGCCCCAGCAAAAGAAACAATAAATGAAAAAAATCCTTCACACTCCCAACTAAACTACTGCCAGATCATTGGCACACCCATTGGAAATCGCAAAAAACTACACCGATAACATTCCGACACTTGTTAAAACTCTTGAAGAAATCTACCCCCGTAAGAAAGTAAAATTTTAGTTAAAATTCTTGAAGAAATCTACCCCCGTAAGAAAGTAAAATTTTTTATGCTTCTTTCTAAAAGACATTGACTCTGCAAAAAGCTCACCAAACCGACTGAGACATCTGAATCGTCACTTAGCTCATCTGAATCCGACATCGAAATTCCATAAGAGCCATAATCGCATCCATAACGGAATTAACGCAAACATAAACCTGATTTCTCAAAATGATATTCAAAGGTATTAAAATATCTCAAAAACACAAACTACTACACACATATCTAATGGCACCGTCGTCGCTAATGACCCCGCTGTCGATGCGACGTTAAAGAAAAATAGAAGAAGAAGAAGAAGAAGAAGAAATGTTGGTGGCAGCGGGGTTTCTTCCGGGCTCTATTTTTATACTCTCAAGTTGTTCAAACCTCTCAGTCTGCGTGTGGGCCCCTGAGAAACCTAGGATTTACGACGCTCGCAATTGCTATTTTAGCCTTTTACTAAAACTTAAATACGAACAATATTGTTCTATGTACTGAAAGAACAGAATTTGGTTTTCACAATTCAATAGCTTCGTCGATGCGTGTATTGTAAATACTCCTAACTTTCTCGTCCTAAGAAAATAACTTTCTTGAACATGTTCTAGCCGCTACACTCGCAATCACTTGCAGTGAAGGAGAGATTGTTTTTTGTCGTCTTTTGATGGGAAAATTAGTAATTGTCTGCAGCCAATCGATTTCGATTTTTCTCCAAGTTGCCTAGGATGAATTATTAGTTACTATGATATTGTTTAGGCAATACTGTACAGATGGTTTGCACATGATAAAGTTTTAGGTGCAACCATGGTTCGACGTTCGTTGGAGCCAAAAAGACTTCAACACATTGTATAGAGTTCAAAAATAAACAGACAAGTCGCCGTGATCGCGCACAGGCTGGGTCGAGAATTTTCACATTTTGTAAAAAAATCAACATTTCGATATTTTTTTAATTTGTAAGAAATATACGTGTGTGTATATATGAACACCGGATTGTATAATTATAAACTTATAATTATATATTACTCTTTATACAAAATAATTTATATTTTATACAATTATATATTACATTTTATACAAAATAATTTATATTTTATACAATTATACAATCGGTGTTTATACAAAAATGCTGTAGCTCGCCCTACTCGTTCGATAACTGGAATAGAATCTAATTGCCCTTATTTGTTTTTTTTTTTTTTGGTTAACCTGTAGTTTATTTTTCCGTAATGCCTGGTTTTTCCCGCCCTATTACCTGCATATAAAGTAACAGTAATTAGATGTTTGCTATTTATATGATTCGTTTGTTTCCTTGTGAGTATTGTTGTGTTGGCAGGAAAAGTTTAAAAAACTTGCTGATCCTTGTAACTTTTTTTTATAGTCTGTTGTTATTTGTTCGTTACCACGTGTTTCAGCCTGATCTTTATCTTTAGTGGTATTTCTTCTACCTGTGTTTCTTATTGCTATGTTCATGGTTGTATGCGTGGGTGATGGATTCCTTTGTTGGATGACCAAACCGGACAATATTGAATTTGTGTTAACACTGACAATGAGCTAGTAACAGTCCACATAAATGTGAATAGTTAGTCATAAAGGCAAGATCCAGTAGCTGGTTATCTATGCTTTTCCTTCCACTTGACGATGATAATCAAATATATATAAGGACATGCTTTAGGGACATTCGATAGCATTAGACATTCTAAAGTATTTTAGATATTCTAATTCTAAAGTATTTTAGATATCATTAAGAGTATTCTAAGACTTTCTACATCATTATAAAGACATTCTAGATCATATTCTATATTGTACAAGAACATTCTAAATCATTCTATCTTATACACGACCACGACTGTAACGA